TTAAGGCTCAATATACCCTCTATTTCAACTGAACCATTTTCTGAAGTTGGGGGAAGCCATGGGCTTTGTGAAACTGGTTAACTTCTGAACGGGTCTGGTAAGGTATGAGTTGGGTGACAGCTCATTCTTGTAAGTCAGCTTACGATCAGCTGTGGATATGAATATGACAGTTTCAGCAGGCCGTTTTTGTTTTCAGGGAAGCACCATCGATTACAGTACATCCGGGGGGCGGTGAAGAAAAAAGCAGCTATCCTTCGTAAGGCATGTGCGTGCGCATGGCCATCACTGTTCTTTGATATGAAGACTAAAAAACTCAAGCTTGTTGCTCCCATATTTGATTTCTTTGCACTCGATGCAATCTTATTTTTCCATGTTAAAAGCCTGCTATCAGGAATCCAATAATAAAAAAAAGTAAAACTTAAGCTTTAGAACCTGAATGAATATTCTGAATATGGACGTGCATGTAAACCTCCTATTCTAAAATATTATTCAGACCAGAGACTTTTTAAACCGCTGCAAGGCCACTTAAAATATTTGGAATATGTGAATGCATGTCTTTCATATTACAAATATTTTACATTTGAAGTTTATTTTTTTTAAGTCTAAGATTATCTGTGGGTAAGTAGAACAGAATCTGATTTTCTCCACTGGTATTCCATTGCAGCAGTCTGGATTACCATTTTTTTTATCAAGTTAGAATCATACATCATTTGTACTGCACAGAAACATGGGTTAACTCTTGCTTAAACTGTCTATCCAGGATGCTAGCAATCCAAGTTCCACAGAATTATGTTTTCATTCCTTTTGTCCTGTCGTGTGACACTCAGACAACAAAAATGAAAAAACAAATTGTGCAGAGATCTGTGCGCTGATAGTGCAACGCACTCCTAAATGGCTCATGAAGATCAGGGGATATCCAGGTTTGCGTTGGAGTTACCTGGGTTGTGTGCCACGTTTTAGCTAAATTTATACAGATTATTCATTAATAAAGATTGGTTATCTAAAGCAGGCATGGTAAAGTAGTTTGTTCATAATTGCAGTGTACATGTCTGCTAAGGGGATTTTAACCTGACCTTTTCATGTTTGGTCAAGAGCCTTAATCATCCTGATATGCATATAGTCCATTATAATTCTGTTAACTGCACCGCATTACGCGTTGTAAGAAGGCCTACTAAGAAAATTCTTTATCTGATATCTGATTATCTGATAAAAATAATCAACTAAATCTGAAAAATTAAAGTCTTTTTCAAAGACTTATATTTTAAAGAAGTGAAATTGTGATCTGTCTGTTAAAGTGAAAGCATCTGGTGAACATTTAGAAGAATATTCACATTCTGAAATTCCATTTTCTGTATAAAGGATATAATTAATTTTCAATAATTGAGGAGAGACTGCTTTAAGATTCTTAAAGTTGTATTGCTTTTGGGAAAATACCTCTTAGATTTTAGACATACAATAACATTTAAAAGTTTTCAACTTAAGTTAAAATAAAAATCTGAAATTCATAACACATGTAGAACACAATTGAAACCAAATATGATTTTTTTTTTCAGATGGCTTTTTCTCTTTTAAAAAGAAAACAGTTCCTGAGCAATACAAAGCAATGCCGTTTTATATACAGTATACAGTAATTAGTTACCTTTGTACAGCATTTCCCCAGCTATATTTTTATGTACCCATAGTTTAAAATGACCAGTGGTTTTCTTTATTAGCTCTTATCACAACAAACAACCTTCCATCTAGCACTAGACAGGTGAAGACGAATTACCTGATTTCTTCCAATATTTATGTGAATACATTTTACAATTTAAATCCAAAGATTAGAAGAGAGCTAATGCTCTGGACCGAGAAAATTTTCCCTGCAAGCTCACTGTCTGAGGCAGTTCGGAGACTCAGTTCAGTAAAGTTTATGTAATGTCTCTGATGTGAAGTTTACTGTCTGAAATATTGACAAATAAAAAAGTGACACATATCCTGCCCCACTTCACATGATCCAAAAGAATATTATCCAAAAGATAACAGCAAGTTTTTTTTCAAAATACAAAATTAATTCATCCTTTGCTCTGAGTGAGATCTGTTATTTCCCTTGGAAACCATTTTCTGAGATTATGGATATTGAGCTGGGACACAGCCTTTAAAATAACCCTGCTCAAATTGATGCTGACTTCAAGGTTTGGGAGCAAAAGGTGCAAAGTTAAACCAAGACCTTTTTTTCTGTGTGTTTACTCTGATACCTTATGTGTAGCAGTTGATAAACCTTGATCAATAAGACTTTGTGAAAAAGATCAATAAGGCATTGATCAATGCCTTCCATACTACAGCACTTTAATTAATTTTCGGATGAATAAAAAGTGTGTTGTCCCTGGCATTATTTCCGCTTCTCTTTAAAATAAAGCCTTTTAAGGTCAGAATGTGCCTAACAAAGGTTAAGAAAGGTTCATGTTTGCTGGATGTGTTATTTCGCTCCTGCAATAAAATTATTTGCTGTCAATACTCATTGGTCTGTGATGCCATGAATGTTTACTGCAGATGTTCTCTGACTCACCTGCAGCATTCTGGATTTCTTTGTTGAATTATACCATTTTACAATTGTTCTGCAGTAATTAACATCTGTCTCACTGTCAAATTTGAGTAAATAAGGAGCGACTATTCAATTTGTTTAACAGGCTTTTCCCTGATAATTAAATTTTATTGAATTTTGAAAAGTTATTGTGACATTCATTACTAATTTAAGTACACCTTTGAAAATTTTGACAGTTCAAAGAATGAATAAAAAGAAATATAGACTTTTAAATTGATGTATAGGACTTAACTACAGTCCTATTTTTTGCTTTTTTTCATTCCATTAAACAACGTTTTGCTCAGATGTTAATAAATCACGGTTTTAGAATTTTCATTTTCTGAGACTGTAATTTAACAGGCAGTAAAAAAAGATTACAGTATATCATTTTGTTTTGACAAACTGAATATGTTTATAAATACTGTGTGCCTTAACAGAGTACTGAATATTTATTTAGCATCCCCTTGAGCACCAAGGGGAATACAGAAAATAGGAATTAAAAACAGAAGTATATGTGATATACTGACATGTTTTATACAATAAGAATTAAACCCCGTGCAGTGAAGTTAATCACCTGATAAAACACGAGTAACAAATATTAGCAGATCATTTAGTACCAACTTAGAACCTCAACCAAAAATTCAGTTGTAAATTCCAGGATCCTATTCCAACACTTCTGTATTCTAGTGAAAGGATTATTTGCAAAATAGAAAGCTGCCGTCAAGAGCTTATTTTGATTTGTGAGTATGTCAAGGCTCTGATTTAACCTACTTCATGCATTAACAGGGAGAAGAGCACATGGAAAATTTTACAACATATGTATTAACGTTTATTGTATATTCCCAAATGACTGAAAAACTGCCATTGTCCCACACACAAGTAGAATTGTTTTCAAATTGCTACGGAAAAACAGCGTAAGTTACTTTACAAAATTGGTTTAGTTAAAATGTACCCCTACTTTTGGGGCTCAGCTGAACTCCTTTCTTCAGTTAAGAATTTTGACACTAGTTAGCTCTGTTATACCATTTTAAAAAGTCTTCAGGATTAATAACAGGATAGATATTTTGGGGACTGTACTATCAGTTTTTATGAATTTCAACCACAATCCATTTTTTTGGAATCAGAGCACATTCTCCTCTATTTTTGTTTTCCAGTTTGTCTTGGTATTTCTCTAACCAAGCTGTCAGATTTCTGATTTCTCAGTTGCTATACAAAGAAGTTAACCATTAGTTATTTTCCAGTAGTTTCCTTTTTCTATTGCAGTACCCTTTTCTCTAATTTCAGTTCATGTCATCTTGTATGCTGATCTCCTTCCAGTTTGCAATTGTACAATTCTGCAGCTGTACTCGGACAGAAATGTGGTTTTGCAAACAATGTGTTACCAACAGAATAAGAAAGATGCAGCATGATAAAGAACTACTGTATGTAGCAAGTCAGAGCTTTTCAGTGCTATCTGTTGCATGTTCTCTTATCTAGCTTTGGAATTGCATGCTTTGTCTACCATAGAGATTTATAGTTGGCTGAGATTTAATTTTAGTCTTTAATTAGCCTAAATAAGTTTCTTTTGCAATGAATAGTGAGCTTTATTTTAATTTTTGGTTATTAAGGTTGGAGAGATATGTAAAAGTGTGCGTTCATCTTTTTTTGACAGTCAAACTCATTGATGTTTTTTGGTATAAAAAGCTGTGTCTGATTTTGTTCAAGGAGAAAATGTCCTAGCTAGGCAAAGTTTTGCTTTTCCTTCTCTTCATCTTGCTTGTTTTTGCCCAATCAGTGTTGCCAATTTTTCAAACTTTTCAAAGACGAAACTGGCATTCTTTTAGATAATTGGACTATGAACAACATGGTGCAAACTCTTGGAAACTGGTATAAAACATTAGAGTTTTTCAGTTTATTCAGATCTCTTTAAGGAAACTTTGTATTTACTGCACTACAATCTATAAATTGATGGACTCTTAAGAAGCCCTGTATATTTAGGAGATTTAGGAGAAAAATACTTTTGTTAAAGCTTGTGATTCAAGGGTTCTTTATTATTTTGAGAGTAAAAGTTGGGAACACTGTAGGAGAGAGAAAGTAGCCAAACTCTGCCAAGTCAAAGCACTCTGAAAATGGCCAACAATTAACAAATGGCACATTTTTGCAGATTTGTCACAATATGAAAAAGTAAATGGTCAAGTAAATGGAACTCTTTATAAACAACAGCACACTTGGAGTTCTGCAAAAAACAGTCAAACTGAGGTCTTTTCTTAATATTGAGATGAAACGTTACTCCTCTTGCCAAGAAATTAGGGATCAGATAGAAAACATCTTTCCCCAAGACTGTTTATTAATTTGAGCTGCAAAGGTCAAGGTAATAACCAGCTTGTAATAATGCTTTTTTTTCATAATATTGAGTGGTCTGAGTAAATCATCTGCTCCCCTTTTAATCAACTCCCAACAGTGAGCATGCCCACGAGTGAAACTGAGTCAGTGAACACGGACAACGTGCCTGGAGGAGAGATGGAAGGAGAGAACTGCTGCACCCGGCTTGCGTAAGTTGTGTTGTCATCATTATTTCTTGCTGTCATCTGATTTTCCTCCTTCTTTGTTGGAGGGACGTTCCTGTTGTAGTCTCTACATACTGAGGAGGATTGCTGGGCTAAGCTTCTTGTAGAGCTTCTAATCTCTAAGGAAAAAGAAGACATCTTTTGAGTCAAGCTTTTGGTTCTCTCCTGTACGTCAAGGGTGTTGATCTAGCCAGCACTAGGTATTTAGATGTTTAAGTAGAAGAGCCAGACAGGTCTAGGAATTACTGATTTGTGGCAATAATAATATACAACACATACAGTATGTGAGTTTCTCTAGCTTCCCTTATGAAAGTCTACCATACTCAGGTTATTAATGTGTTTTCTCTTTATTGTAGTTCTGCTAGATTATCTCCATAATTTGCTATGGTCTTAGCATGCCCTCACAGTGTTTTCCTACCATGGTAAACTATATAAGACACTCCCTAGAAACAAATATTATTACATGTCATTACATTCCTGTACTCCAGTGCAGTAAAGCACAAAGAAGATAAACCATAGGAAATTATAGCTAAAAGCAGGCAAAAATGCAATCATAATTTATTAAATCATTATGAATGTTCCTTAGGGCCTTATACAGTAAGTGTATATGATACTACCATATCTCTTCTGTTCAGAGCTACAAAGCATGAAAATTTTCCAGGACAAGAATGTGCAGAACAGTGGCAACAGATTCAATTTTACTGCTTTATTTTATTAAAACTTCAGATACGCAATTTACACATATAGAATAAATGACATGCTATGAAAAAGTACATTCATACTGTAATTACTGCTTCAGTCCTATTACTCTTATGTGAAATTATATATCTTCAAAGGTGTACAGTAGCTACTTTGCAATACTGGCAACATTGCAGTGCAGTGGCTCTTTGGCTAAGGATCTGTACCTGTGGCTGGAAGGTTGCCGGTTCGTATCCCGTGGCTGGCAGAGGAATCCTACTCTGTTGGGCCCCTGAGCAAGGCCCTTAACCCCAGCTGCTCCAGGGGCACCATATGAATGGCTGACCCTGTGCTCTGACCCCAAGCTTTTCTCCCTGTCTGTGTGTCTCATGGAGAGCAAGTTGGTGCATGAGAACAGACAAATTCCTACTACAATAAATTGTATATGGCCAATAAAGTGATCTGATAATATCTTAATATTCCAAACAAATTAACAGTTTTGCACATTGCTAAAGTAATAATTACATAATGCATTTACAATATATGTCATATTGTATATAAAATATAGGAGATGCATTGAGAAAGGAAGTATAAACAACTATGTTTTGATGTACCAGCTTGTTTTTAAACAGATTCTTTTAAAAACTTATTTTTTTCCCAGAGGCTACAGTATTATTTAACAATAATGCTTTAAAGTGCAAAATCTCTCATCATCTTCAGAAAGTTGCCATTTCAATGTGAGATGACTGATGGAAAAGTAATATGAATTAGAAATAGAAGAACCCAAGTATCTTCATAAAAAATGTAAAAAGACCTCTAAATTTAAACCATTCTCCCCCACAGCTGTTCAAGTGTTTTCTGCAACCTCTCACAGAATTTCCCCAATCAGGAATTTTGCCATGCGCTCTCTAAGGCTTGACCTCTTCCAAGCCAAGGAAAAACGATTTTTCTCCGTATTTAAAGGTTAAATGTATTGATACCCATTTTGTGCTCTGTACTTCTTGTATGTATCGTTTTTCGTTGTTTTGTTTACAAATCCCATTTCTTTTTAAAGACCTTCAGACTTTTCTGTCTGATTCAGCAGGCTTTGGTAGATCTCAGCTTTCTAAACACTCTACATCAGGACTGTACATACTGTACAGTAAGACTGCACAGAACAGCCTGCAAATTTGCAGTAAAACCAGACTCCATCAAGAATCTAAAACCTTAAAAACTGGTTACTACAATACTTTCCAATACAATTTGATTTACTGTACTGTATATACAGTATATTGTATTCAGGAGATAATACATTTTACAGTAAAGTTAATAAAATTATAGATGCCTACCATTCATTTTTATAAAAATTTACAAAGTTTAAATTGTGCTTAAACTAATTTTTGGCTTTCTAAATGGAACAATTTATGACAGACACAGTATCATAGAGCCTGCTTCATGCTGTAGCTAACCTGGACAACAAAAAGAACCTACAGCAATATGGGCCAGAACCAGGAAAGATGTAGTTGCTTCTCTAGCTCTCTTACTGAGGCTATAGGCATATTGCATCCAAAAGGAAAGAAAACAAAATATGTTGTGAATATAGTTCTCCAACACTGGTGTGGGTCATGTCACTAGCTGACTGTGACTGTGGTGCACAATTAGCAGATTGCCACTGGGAAAGGGAAGTCATTTGTAGGTCAGGTCTTAAGGACTTTCAGTGCAGCCATGACTACTACAGTAATAATAATTCCTTACATTTATATAGCGCTTATCTGGACATTCCACTGAAAGCACTTTACAGGTAATGGGGACTCCCCTCCATAACCACCAATCTGCAGCATCCACCTGGATGATGCAACGGCAGCCATAGTGCACCAGAACGCTCACCTGACATCAGCTATCAGTGGGGAGGAGAGCAGAGTAATGAAGCCAATTCATAGATAGGGATTATTAGGAGGCCATGATTGGTAAGGGTCAATGGGAAGTTTGCCCAGGATGCCGGGGTTACACCCCTACTCTTTTTGAGACACACCCTGGGATTTGTTTTAATGACCACAGAGATAGTATAGTATAGTGTCCCCATCAATATACTGGGGCATTAGTTGCAGAGTGATATGGCTGCTGGCAATATGCACAGGTGACACTGGGAAACATGCCTATTGTCCATACTCACCTAAATGTCACAATGGGGTTTGAAGCTTTTCATCAAGCTAAATGGCCCTCATAGATGGTTGCCAAAGGATTAATCTGTCGGTCATTATTCTTATCTGAAACATCATTCCAGATACATTATGGAGGATATGCAGTATGATGAGTAATAAAAACAAATGAAAAAAGTTAAAGACATACAGGAGTATAAATGATCAACCTCTGTGTGCCTCAAAAAACAGCCTACAGTACTTGTATGTGAGCACCTGAGCTAAGTGCATGCAGGGATAAGCATCTCTCATACGTACTAATGAGTTAAATGAGTTTTGACAGTACTTCTGTAATTACTACCCAGCAAAGGCCCACCTTCAAATAATAAAATCATCATTTTCAGGCAAGGAGATGAAAGGTACTAGCAGGAGAAATAGCTTTTTGGCATTTCATCTGAAATGAAACAGAGTAATTAAGAGTCTTTCTGAAACAAGGCAGAGCAATTAAGCGTCCCTTTGTTGGGAATGAGTTTACACATTTTCCCCGCAGGTGGATTTGGTCGATATGCTGCAGAACACTGATATCGCCCCTCCCTACATTGAAATTGCCTTAATGCACTTAATGTTTCTGTGTACTGTAATACATTACATAACATTTCAATCAAATGTGCTCAAAACAGACCATATGTTTTTGTGTTCTATATTATGCATGAACCAGTACATTTGAATAGAGTCTTTGTGAATAAGCCAAAATAGTGACAATCTTTATTACAATGAATGTGCTCAGTTCTATAACTGCTATTCATTCATGAAGCCTGGTTGTGGGCTCTTACCACTTTCTCCCTGAGTATGTACTGTAGTATCATACCAAGGTTTGCTAGGCACTTTTAGACATATATAGTTTTGCTGTGCACAAAATATCACAGTAAAGCAATATGTCCTAAATCTAAAAAGGTTTGTTAATTTGCTAGTTTTTTAAAAAAAAGTTTCAACTATCAAAATATGTGAGCACTTTTGGAAATATTTTCCATTTAAACAACTTATAACATATTTTTTATAATGTGAACATACAGTAACTCCCTATATTGTAAAGTTTTTAAAGCCATCTTAACCACTGTGAACCAATTAGGTTATTTGAGACTGATGTCTCACTTCATGATTATTCCTCACACAAAAAATGAAAAGCTAATTAATCAACAGTTATTTCTTTAACTGGAGAAGCTCTTCTGTCATGGGTTAGATTAGCAAAACAACCCTTAAAATGTGAATACATTGTTAATGATTTTTTGTTATTGCAGCAAAAATATACACATCGAAAAGGGTATCTACTGTACTGTATTTACTTAGAGTAAATAGATGTCCTTATGTACCCTGGAAACATTTCAGAGATCAAAGACTTTGTTAATGACAGTCTTTCCTGCTAAGATGTCATAGAATAGGAGGACCAGAAGTGACATGCATTGGTGAACAAAATAATAAATATAAATAATTTACCTAGTAAGTAATGATATTTCAGTGGTCACCAGATATGGGCTCAGGTATGGAAATCCATAATAAAAACCATAGGAATCATCTGTGTGTTATGACAGGACCTTTACACTTACTGTAAGTAGTGTGAGATTGTGCTTTGCATTACAAAACAGCTTTAAAAAGTATATAGTATACTGTACATAGTATATAAGGAGAACATGAGGGTAGTTACCAGGACTCTCAGTTATCACGTCATTCTCAGTTTTAGTTTTTCTCAGAATGTAGGGAAGCTAAAGCAGAGGCTCTTTTATGGGTTGGTTTTCTTTCAGTAGTTTAGCAGATTGTAGATATCTCACTTGTACAAAGTAACTCAGTTACTGAAGACATTTTAAACTGTATGAACATTCAGTCATACCTGTGCCTTAAAATCTGACTTCAGGCAGATTTGAGGACTTTACTCTACAGTAGCTCAGGTTTCAAAACACCATGCAATGTAAAGCAAGATAGCTTTGTGTTTGTTTGTAAATGTAAGCAGTTTAAACTTTTACTAAGCAATGCCAGTCTTAGAGGAATACTCTATCTTCCTTTTATTTGATTTGCTGTTTGATATGCACACGTTGTGTTTTCCAATTTATTTTTTAGTGACAAAACAAGGCAATGACATCCAATGACAACAATGACTGGCATCACAAGTAAAAAGATGTATGTAGGGGAAGGGAAAACATGTTGACGTTTAACTCTTCCTTCATGAATCTCAGTCAAAACAATATTAATGCATGATATAACGTTATGTCCCAGTTTAAGAGGGAAAATATTGCAACTCATTGCATCGGTTTATTGCAACACAGTTTTCTACCTCAGGAGTGACTGTGTCCTGCTTTGGTACCTGTGTCAGTTTCTTGGATCATGATCATCCTACTGCATCTGGTCCACACTGAATACAAAGAAAAACATTAGTTTTGAAAATACTTTGTATGTGGTGAATAGTTCTGTGAGAAAGCTGAATAAGGAGATACAGACCACTTAACAAGCAAAAAATAAATACAAATTTCACAAAATGTCTCTCACGCCAACAAGAGTTACCATGCTATTAGGAAATGACTCACAGCTAAAGTTCTGAGGTTTCATGAGTACAGACAAATGTTGCTCCTCTGTGATTGACCTCCACTGTTAATGTGCTGTTTACTGTTGTTCCTGCAATTGTCTTCTGTTTTGTTTTTTGAAGCAGTCTTCTGTAATGTCCTGTTGTATGTATAATCCATTCTGTTTTTTGTTCCAGAAATAGGATCTCCAAATCCAAGTTCAGGTTAGTACATTGTAACAGCGGCAGTTCTTTACAACAGCAGTCTGTTTCGTGGCTATTGGTCCGTGTGTGAATGCTACTGTGTGTCTATGTGATGTGCATCATGTGTGACACATTGTGATCACAAGTTTGTGGCAACCAGGTGAGGCTTGAAAATGCAGTAAGTAGAACCTTCTCATTTTTTTTTCCTTCCTAACTGTCCTGTGAATACAGAAGCCAAAAAAACCTTGTTGCTCCATTTATGGTAAATAGTCGATATAATGGGGACATCAAAAAGACTAGTACAGCATCAACTGGGAGCAAAGTAGCTAGGTACTGTCCTGTATATGGGATTGACACTGAAGAGATGGATCAAAGCAATACTTGTCTTTGCCGAAAAGCCACACAACACAAGCAGAAAGAAACTTAAACTGCTCTTTCAGATTCTACCTCAGATCTACCTCAGATTCTTCTTAAAAATGCATAGTCCCAAAACAGAATCAAGGTTTCTACAAAGGTAAAGCATCTGGAAGCATAACCTTAAAGTCTTACCTTCTGGGTATAAAATTCCAAATCTTCTCCAAATAGCTCACAAAGTTAACTAAAAAGTATTTCAAATCATACAAACATTGAATCTCTTTGACCTCTAGAATCTACCCTTGTTGGCTTCAGCCCCACCTGATATACTATAGTGGTGAACTCCAATAAGTCCCAGGTTGTAGCTCATGTGTTCAATATGGAACAATGACAGGAGGAGGAGGCCTGAGCCACAATCCCCAACAGGCTGTGGGGAATAAACTGCAGCTCTTAGTAACCTGACCAGTCAAAGGAAGCTGGTGATTATTTTAAAATCAGCATGTGGTAGTTTCCATAGTTGCACATCGGCCATTTGGAGACAGATTCACAGTACTGAGCTAGAATTTATTGAGAGTTGAGACTGTGATTTGGAAGTACAGTTGCCTGGTTTTGGCCGGTGAGGGGCTGATGAAATCCATTGCAATCTGATTTAAATTAATTTGAAACAATCGCACGCCTGTACAAAGGTTGAAGGTGTTTCCATTGCATCAGAGTGCTTTTTGTAGGCTTGGAGACTACGAAAGACTACAAAAGAGCCCAGCTGTTGTGGCCAGCACATCAGGGTGCTGATGCTCACCCAGGGTCCAGAATAAATTATCCACCTATTGTGTTTTTCAGAATCAGTAGTATCTAATGAATAAGCTTTTAGCAATTGAATAGGCAAGGCTAGCTAATTTGCCCATGTTGTTTGTAATGTCACAGTCAAACTCAACCTCAGGACCCCAAGAACTATGAAAAGAAAACACGGCACTTCTGTACCACTTAGGTTATTCCATGAATGTAACTATTTGTAGGAAGCAGAAAGAACTAGAAAGAATAAATATTTTGAGTAAAAAATGTTCATATTTTACAGCTAGTAAATGTGCTTTGTATTCCCAGTGAAACCAGTGCTTTGGAAATTGGTGATCTATGTCATCTGTTATTTAAAAATAATGTTTTCCACCTTTTTATAAGAACTTTGATTTGTTCTCCCTCTTTGATCCCCTTTCACTTTTTGTGCAATGGAAGCCATCTGAATCATTGACAGTCTGTTATTCATCATCCAAAGCTTGTTTGAATTTTAAAGTGTATTATATGAGCAATAAAGTGTGACTGGCTGTGCACTGATTCAGAACACCAGAATGCCTTCTCAACTTTGATCAGTTTTTGTCTGTGCGTGATATAAATATGTACAATTCTCAAACTGGAGATCTCCATGGTGATTTTTCACCTACTAGAGATGATCATACAACATTTCAACCATTATATGAAAAAAGAGCAACATAAATGTGTTTAGATGAGTAATTGTTTTGCATTAAAAACTAATAAATACTCTTAAACACTCTGTTGTGCACAGTATATAATTTTCTAATTTAACTTTTGAGCCACCAGTTTCCATTAAAAAAAAAATAGTATTGTGAAATTAAGAGTAGTTGCTCTCCTTTGAATGAGATTCTAAACCAAAAACCCTGAGTACGTAAACATCTTAAAGATCTACATAAAGATCCTAATTGTCTCAAAGATCATTCTTAAAGATTGCATGACAGTGTTCATAAGATGAGGGATGTTAACTCCATTGACCTAACTTTCATTAGTATCCTTTGGAATAATAAGTGCTATGCCAATGCATGAATTTATAATAATACTACATGTTTTACAATACTCTTCACCTTGGATATACTGGATTCAGACTCTGGCAGGATTCTATTGTTTAGTGCAGTGGTACTGAGTTCTAGTCTTAGTGGACCCTAGTGTCTTCTGGATTTCTGGTTCCATCTCAGTTCCTAATTGCTGATGCTAACTGATTTCTTTAGTTGATCTGATGCCTTTTTAGATTACGTTTACTTTTCTTCTACATATAGTCCCTGTTTTAAAAAACGTACCCTATATCAGCATATGCAGTACAATGAAAAGAGTAAGAACTGGGACAGTGAAGTTAAATTCATATTTCAGATAAAAAGATTAATAGCAGACGATTATAGAATGTCAGCTTCTGTTTATGAGTAATATTTTGCATACATTAATATCATCAAGATCAAACACGTGTAAATTATAATATTTGTTTTTGTCTTCCTAATAAGTTAAATCCCATAATCACTCATTCGTATTCTCAAAGTCAAGCAAATATTCATTTAGTGTTGTGAACTAAACTTTATCAAAGCTAAGCTCAGGTTTAAATCTCAAGGTGATAACATGAATAAAATAAAATGGTAGTCTATACTCAGTGGGCGGTGCGGTGGCTCTGTGGCAAAGGATCTGTGCCTGTGGCTGGGAGGTTGCCAGTTTGTATCCCATGGCTGGCAGAGGAATCCTACTCTGTTGGGCCCCTGACCAAGGCCCTTAACCCCAAATGCTCCAGGGGTGCTGTATAAATGGCTGACCCCGCGCTCTGACCCCAAGCTTCTCTCCATGTCTGTGTGTCTCATGTGAAAAGACACATTACTAATACAAGAAATTGTATATGGCCAATAAAGTTATCTTATTAAAACTTGCTGGTCAGGTGTTTCTTGTAGTGTAAAAAAAAATAGGCTAGGCTGGGTTTGTCAGAGTTGTCCACTTGCTGGCTGTGTGCCAAGGATGTCCCAGAATGTAAAGAGAGAGTGTTACTTAGCTTGGCTCTGAAGTTGGCTCAGGGAAGTTAGAACTGTGCATAACCTGGCTTTTTAATATAGCCTTTGAAGAGTCTGACAGGATCTAGCTATAAGTAAGACAAGTGAGGAGAAGAACTAAGTTCATCGTGGGTTGTAGCACTGTTACTAAATGCCTGTATACTCCAATAATTCGGCTGTTGATAAACAGTCCAACTATATTAATTCCATTGATGAAGCAAACTTGGTTACTACAAGTTACTACTACTTGGTTTGCAAGCTTCAAGATTACACTTGTGTAGAGTAAATCTTAGGCATAATTCTGTTGGCGTACTAGCCCACCCTCAACCTGGTGGCTGGGAGAAAGGCTTATGTTCTGAGTCTCAGACAACAATGGTTGCAGTCAGTGGTTGGCGAAGAAGTCTGATGGTGGCTGGTGATGAGTTGTGGTCAAGTGTAGTAGTTTCTCTCCACCCTGATAAACCGTCACCTCTGACCTGGGTCTCCCTAGGTGTGTTCCAGACTGAGAGACACCATGTTGCATGCTCAACAATGGGAGGTGCATAAATGGACTCCATTTGCCATGTCCTGGGTTGCATTAGTGACTCAGGATATGCTGCATATCAGAGCTACATTCGTTGTGCTGTAGACAGAGGACAAAGCTTCTAGGGTTATTCTAGAAAGATTTTAGAAATCTTTAATAACAATTCTTAGAGTGATAATATACCATGTCACTACACCCTTTACCCTTTAATTAATCATTAATCTCCGTTGCTCTTATTTTTACTTATAATTAATTCTGTTAAACATATTTTGGATTTTAAATGTGGTATCATTGACATTACATATTATTTTATTTGATTAATTATGTAATCTGTTTCTACTTTGTGACCACTATTTTTTTTTCTCTTGCCTGGAGTTTTATCTATAGAAATACAATTTATATGGGTTAAAGAAACTTCTAGATAGAAATATGGTGCCACCATTTTAAAACAGCTCCACCTCTGTGAATGCTGCTACAACTCTCATACTTTTTCATCGTTTTTCCCAACACTATTCCCTTTTCTCTCCTCCATAAACCTCCCTTCTAGTCGGTATTCCCGACGATGGAACCGGTTTTGCCGACGGAAGTGCCGAGCGGGAGTGAAATCCAATGTCTTCTACTGGCTGGTGATCTTTCTGGTATTCCTCAACACACTGACCATTGCTTCCGAGCACCACGATCAGGCCCTCTGGCTCACCGAAGTCCAAGGTACCTTCTTGTTTTCAGCCGGGCATACAGGGGCCTTAACTCCTGCTGTGTTCATTTACTAGAAGGAGAAAGAAAAACAAAAGAAAAGGAAGCCAGCAGAGAAAAACAGTGGAAGGTTGACATTAAGAAAACAGGGAAAGAGTGTATACAAGTCTGATATTGCCAAATTTTGCCAGATATCTTCCAATGATTCAGATTGTGTTTGACATAATTGTAAATCAGAGCTATTTTAGCTTTTCTTTGAACATTATATTACCTAACCATGAAATTCAGTTATCCATGTTCTCTTTTGACTAAGTCCAATGTTGATTCTCTTGTTGCCTGTTTCAGACATTGCCAACAAAGTGCTGTTGGCCCTGTTCACAGGAGAGATGCTGCTGAAAATGTACAGCTTGGGACTGCAGGCCTACTTTGTCTCACTGTTCAACCGCTTTGACTGTTTCATTGTCTGTGGTGGTATTCTGGAGACCATCCTGGTGGAGACCAAGATCATGTCCCCTTTGGGTATCTCAGTGCTGCGTTGTGTCAGGCTGCTCCGTATTTTCAAAATCACAAGGTACAAACTACTTATAACCATAGTCTTTATTTATTTATTTTTTTTGTTGGGGGGAGTGTTATTTTTAAAAACCCCGGCATCCTGGCCAAATTTCCCCATCGGCTGTTATCAATCATGGCCTCCTAACAATCCCCCTCTGTGAATTGGCTTCATTACTCTGCTCTCCTCCCCACTGATAGCTGATGTGTGGTGAGCGTTCTGGCGCACTATGGCTGCCGTCGCATCATCCAGGTGGATGCTGCACATTGGTGGTGGTGGAGGGGAGTCCCCATTACCTGTAAAGCGCTTTGAGTGGAGTGTCCAGAAAAAGCGCTATATAAGTGTAAGCAATTATTATTATTATTATTATTGTTATTATGGGATAAAGAAGCACTACTTGACTTTGCTCACTGCAGCAGATGATATAGAATGATGGCACTGGACATACTGTACAGTAATTTAAACAGAAGGCGATCTCTTAGCATATAAAGTTAAGCATCAAATAGAGGACTCACAAAGGTCTCACTGATATCACTGTAAGGTTTCAGGTTTCACAACCAGCTTCAAGCCTCTTCATTGCTGGTTATTACTTGAGCATTTCCACCTGAGCATTTTCACAATGAAAAAACAGACCTTAGGTACAACCCAGTATAGAATCTACAAGTAATCTGATCTCTCAGATTTACTCATAATCTATTATATTGTTACATTAAAGGGAAAATCTGGTATGTAACAAAACAAAACATAATCTGTAACAAATTGGTGTTCAGAACACACAGTATTGTGCCATTGAAACATTTCATTTAGTTGAAAATAAATGGTGCGAGTTTAATCCTCCAATGGTTTTTAAGCAACTTGTAGTTCGTGACAGTAAAAAGTGACGGTTTTAATAAAATAGCTATAAAGGTTGGTTTTGACTGGTATGTCCTATCAAGAATTTCAAGGTTAATAAGACGCTTGCTATCCCACCAGCAAGACCGTAAGAAACATAAAAACATGGTTTTGGTATATAACGCATAATCCTTGGACAGCTATTGGGAAATTAAAAAATACTCTGGCATCATCAACATACAATGTCCATATGGCTACCATTCAAGGTTGAAATGATGAATGTGGTGTCTGCAGTAAAGTTCCATGGCAAAGACATGAAATTTGCATATAACAGCTTATTGACACTAATGATATGGTTATCATGAAAGTTTAAGCATCACCCTGTCTGAGAAGAACAGAAATCTATCTGTTTGTTCTGCTTTATAATTGTTTTTCCTTCATCCTGTTCACCTACTTAAAATTAAGGGACAGATGGATGTGGCTTTGATGAAGTCAGCCAGGATATTTTATCCAGAAGCCTGGTGCCTTTTGTCCAGAAACTAAGGCTTGCTCACTGATGACATGGATCTTAAAGAAAAATATCAGTGTATTAAACTCGATAACCAAATGATTAAGATAGGCTATTAAGACAATACTTATTTTTGATTGGCCATCACAGTCTGCACAAGGATATTTAAAGCATCAGCAGAATGAAGTCACCCAACCTGCAGGAGCTAAAGAGGTTCTGCATGGAGGAATGATCAGATCAATTCTTATAAGCAGTTTAAGAACATTAAAAGGTTACAGGAAGAACCAACTCAAACTTGTCAAAGGCAAAGAGATGCTTACAAAATATTTATTGCTGAAATATCGAATGCCATGCATTTATAGCTATTTGTGAATGTTTTTGACAGAAGTTCTGTTAATATGCAATACTGACAGCCACACCTGTTTCTACCGTCAGTGTGTACAAACTTATACAGCGTATTATAAACCATATGCACCCTTCAATATATTACAGTAGCTGTAAAAGTGGAGATTGGTGAATGAAGAGTACATGAGATTAAAAAATGAGAAAGCATTTATAATATAAGGCTTGAGAAACTATGTGAGGATGACAGCAATTTAGAACTGCTGTGACTAAAGTGGCTTGATTGTTGAACCTCAGGTAAGAACATCTGTTGGTCAATCACTGAGTGCTGGGGGCTTGTGTGAACCCACTCTAAGGATGAGTGATGAAGGTGATATTGATGTCTGTCTCGCATGAAAGTTTTTAAATCTCTGTGAAAGGGCTTAGAAGAAGTCAAGGTAATCATGGCTGGCAGAAGTAAAATGGGGGCACTATCTGCCTGGAGCAGTCTTTGATTCTTCCTGCTGTGACATGTACCCTGAAGTGCTCGGCTGGTGAAACAGGTAGAAAACTATTCCAATAGGCCTCCCCTTTCGGCTTCTGTTTCCAGCTTTTTCCTTGCTTCATTTAGTGTGCCTGCCAAGTTGGCCTGTTGTCATGACTGCATTGATTTTACTACGTGGACTGCGGTCCATTGTCAGCTAACTTGCTACTATTAAAACACAAATAAATCAAAAGTGTGTTAGAATAATACAGTAAATTGATCTTGTTTGTTCTGGTTCATACAGTAGTAATAAGATGTCAATATTGATCCTGTAAGCTCAGAAACAATTACAATATTGTTTTCCCTTCTTCTGTTCAAATTGTGATTAATCACAGTCATGCAGATCCAAACTGTAAACCAGCTTGCAGCTAAGCAATATATTGACATTCTGCTAGTAAATTAATGTGTGTTTCAGAAGCTGAACATGTCCATCCAGTGAAACAAGGGATTTTTCTATATAGCACAACTAACAACCAATTAAAACAATTTATAAAAAATATATACAAGAAAATACATTTTATGCATTTGAACATGTGACAAATTTCAATAAAATATACGTTTACTGTACATAGGAGTGACCTATTCTATCCAATCTAATGAAAGTACTGAAATGTTATATGGAATGCACAGGATATTAATTCAGGCCTTTCCCTCAGTATGATCTTCTACAGGAAAACAGACTTGTTTATCTGAGCATGTGAAAAGGTAGATTGTTAGTCCATGTCTCTGTAATGCATAACTGAAGGCATCAGAAGTTATGCTGTTGTGTCACTTCAGATAGTCTCAAGGTTTTACAGTCAGTGCTGAAGAGCTACCTACAGTACATTTCACAAAGATTTACATTGCTGGCTTAATGGTACCTTATCTTTAGGGATATCTCTTCATATTTTGTGGAACCTATGCTGTAATTGTATAATTACTAGAGCTGGACTGGTCCTCTATTAGTCTTACTATGTAATATTTAGGGGCTTGAGTAGTAATGCATTCTATATACTGTAATGTGTAGTACATGTCTGTGTTTATGTCTGTGTGTCTGCTTTGCCTTGCTCCCAATGCTTGCCAGAAAAGGCTCCTGCAACTCTGAATTGGAAGAAGTTTTCAGAAGATGGATGAATTTATATAATGTGTATAAACAGTTCATTCATTTTTAGACTTTCTTGTGTGTTGCATCCACATATTACTCAAATGACTGAGACATGTAATATCCCTTGTAAAATTCTCAATCTCTATATATTATATATGTATATTTACTACACTGTATATAATACTATGCTATATATTTAATATATATATATTTAATATACTGATGAGGTTCGTGTAGGGAGCTGTGTCAGCACACAGTGTCGATGTCAGTAGAATATTCTTACAATTTAAGCTATTTTCATGGTCTACTGTGCTTAAGAAGGAAAGGCATTTTCTTCATTTGGTTGTATTCGTCATTTAGAACAGTATGATTGACACAAAAGTACGTGATTGCTGACATTTGAGCAATTATTTTTGTTTCGGTTTAGTTCTAGAAAGATGAGGTTGCCATTGCTTGATGTTATCTTTAAAAAACGTTCCTGTAATGTATCACAACATAATGAATGAGCATTATGATGTAATTTAGAAAACAGAAAAGTCTCACTGGCATGGCTTAGTCACATTTAGCTATTGGCAAATCAGGCAGTGACTACCACCTAAGCTTTTCAAGAGGTTCACGTAGTATAAAAGTACTCAGTCAGTAACGTCCATATTATATTCAAGTGTGTGTGCCAAAATGCAGTTTATACATTTACTGTAAGTCATCGATTCTGTGTATGAATGTATATGTGTATATGAACCTCAGAAGATATTTGTAGCTGATAACATAGTCTGGTCACTGTGACTCAGTGATCTCACTGATCAATTATACATGAATACTAGAACAGAACAGTAAAAATCAATCCATACTGTATTGGAATGCTGCAGTGCCAAGGAGTAAATGTATCTTTTCATTCCATCACTATGAACACAAAACATTTCCCACCTTGATAAGTTTCCAAAAAAATGAAATACTAGCATTTAAGCTTTTCAAATAAGAGTTTTACGACAGTGGTAGCATTTTACTGAAGTTTGCTGTATGTATTACGTTAGACATAAAACTCTTGCAGTTGTATTTCAGATTGCCTAGCCATTCTCTGTAAAGGCCTTGAAAACTCTGTCTATTATTACGTCAGAAAGCTTCCTGTTACTGACTGACATTTTTCCAGCTAAATATTTTATCACATGCATCCCAGCTAGAACCGGTCAATTCCTTATTTCTTCATACAGGATTTGACAGTGGTGCGATGTGACCTACAGGCTTTTTGATTGCTCAGAAATTATAAATATCTAATGACACACAGACTGACAAAACAAATGACAGATTTCAAAATGTATCTTCAAGCTCTTCTATTGTACTGACTATCACCTCCAATTTGTAGTTTGTAGGCAAGTCTCATTCTTGGTGCACGAATGGTACCGTAATTCAAATTAAAGACAAATTGTGAGTCACATAACTATATAACATGAATAAAAATATACCTTTACACTCTTGTCTTACAACAGCAGTTTAACAATACTTTAGTTTAGTTTATATTTTGGTCACTTTTTAAATGAAATGCTAGTTATGGCATATGAATGAGAAGAACAATAAAAATACTTTCGCAAAACTGGAATTGTAAATACATGAATGAAACAAAGGTATATCTAGGGATGTTAGAGTATGTGTGAGATTTCATACAGTCCATTGAAATGAACGGAAATGTAATGTTTGCATTGTACCTTGAATTATTGTACTACAGGGCCAAGTGTTGTTTGCTTGGATTACTGTATGATAAAATGGGGAGGTTTGTGCATACTGTATGTCACAGGATGTCACAGTTCATACTGTATACTGTAGCCCAATAATCTTACTGTGCATGAAGGTGTGAACAGAGACTTTTTGCACTTGTACTGTATGTTAGTGAGCAAGAACACACCTCAAGTTTGCATCAAAAGCAAGGCACAGCATTGTTTTATGTAATTCTGTGGTTACTAAAGTACTTAACAGTGCTAAAGTACAGTAACATTCCTCTCTCTGCAGTGCACATTTACATATACTGTTATTTAAGGTTTATCTCCTTAGTCTTTTTAAATGAATGCTATTTGTTTTCAGTTCCATCTCCAGCTCATTGTTTGCCTTGGCAGGTACTGGAACTCCCTGAGTAACCTCGTGGCATCTCTGCTGAACTCAGTCCGCTCCATCGCCTCCCTGCTGCTGCTGCTCTTCCTCTTCATCATCATCTTCTCTCTACTGGGCATGCAGCTTTTTGGGGGGAAGTTCAACTTCGATGAAATGGAAACCCGCCGGAGCACTTTTGACAACTTTCCCCAGTCCCTGCTGACTGTCTTTCAGGTGAACTGTCTCAGCAATGCTGGGGGTACCGTAGCGTGCAAGTGAGAGAGAACTCACTGGGGCTGGGACTGTGATGCGATTGGCGGAGAGCTCACTGGGATGGGGGTAGAATGTAACTGGGATACTGTATGGCTCATCAGATTCTTTAACAAAATGCAAGGTAGTGTATATGTTACCCTGAGTTATCACCAAATGTTAAATGAATTGTCAGTTCAAGCACCCAAGCTGTGGTGAGATCCATTAATAGCTCAAGCACTGGAGTGGGTTGTTGCTGCTATGCAATATTATACAGTAAGTCATGTGAATTGTAAATAGCATAACAGCTAAATTCACAATGACAGTAATGAATAAGAAAGTCTTCACATATTCAGGAATTATAATACTGAATATGTACTGCATGTAATGAGCAAGAAAACTGTACTAATAGCTTCCACCAGTGTTTTTTTACAGTTTTAACAATCCCAACTGTTTTTAACACGGCTTATTTTGGGTAAGAAAAAATTAAATTATCATTTAGCAATTTTGTAATTAAAACATAAGCAGAATCTCAGCAGGACAACATATAAAAAAGGAATTAATACATTAATAAGGAGGCTGTGTCTCCCACTGATGTACAGTGATTTACAGTAACTGTTGTAAAGAGTCCTTTCAAAATCATTAGCCTAAACTGGCCTCAATCAAAACATTTCCCTGACCTGTGTCCTAATGAGGAGAACCAAAATCACCCACTCGTTCTTTTTCTACAACAGATCTTGACAGGAGAGGACTGGAATTCTGTAATGTATGATGGAATCAAGGCCTATGGGGGCCCCTCCTTCCCAGGAATGCTGGTTTGCATTTACTTCATCATCCTCTTCATCTGCGGAAACTGTATCCTCTCAGCCACTATTAAAGAGCTGTGGTCCTTTCTGTCCTCTTGGATATGTGCAGTACATTAGTAAAAGCATTTCTGCGAAGTTAATTGGCAAAGCATGCCACCCAGGATAGTGGCAAGACATTGCAATATGAATCTGCTTAACACAATAAGAAATAGGATAAGTGCTGACCCAATAGCATCCTCATTAAACACAGTTCTCTGTTCAGTCCATTTTTAAATGTCTGTCCTGAATCTGTAGTCCTGATTCCTATACTCAAAGCAGGCTGCACTCTGGTAGGTGAAGTAGCTGAAGCCTCTGAAAGTGAGAGCTCAGGTGTAACTCATGGAGTCTTTGATGAAATACAGTAAGCAGGGCGGCAGCCTTGGTTTAGATTTGATGATTCAGTTGTTTCGGGCAAATTAAGCCAGAAAAAGCAAGGGTTTCAAAATGAGAAGCTGAATCTTAGTGAATGTGAAATTTTACTTCATACACTTTTGCAGCTGTTATGGTCTGGATGAAACAAAACTGAAAGATGAACTATGGCGTTTCTCTTAAAGGGAAACTTTACTTAATAATACTCTTTTTAAAGTAATTCCAGGTATGAAAAGAGAGAAATCAGCTCTATGTGAATGCGCTTTTCTGTCTAAATGTAATTTTAAAAAAATATTTTAAAGTAATATTTTATTGTGGACTTGTTATGGTAAATGATGCCATTCATGAACAGTGAAATGTGTTGTAATTACATGTAAGTTACATATTAAGTAACTAACATATTAAGGCCTTCTCTTTCTAACCTGTCCATTTAAAACAGTATGAAAGAGACATTAATTGGGGTATCTGAAAGGACAGACATTTGCCATCATCGAAGAGTATGTAATACTTTGTGCTGTGGAAAGGATACAAAAAGAGTGTACTGTAGGTAAGGGTTTTTGAGCTTGAAAACCAATGAACGTATTAATTGCAGAAGTACCCAATGATTATTTTACAGTATTTCAATATTGATCATCAGGGAAATCATGATATCAGGCATAACTCATCTCCTTCTATTCTCAGTACACTACACCTTAATGTGCACAGTGTTTATCCCTTTTCAATTCTTAGGTCTGCAATTCCTTTCTTGTGCCTCTTTAACCGCTCCTTCAACCAGACATCCTACTGAATGTCTTCTTGGCCATCGCCGTGGACAACCTGGCCGATGCTGAAAGCCTGACATCAGCCCAGAAGGAGGAAGAGGAAGAGAAGGAGAGGAAAAAGCTGGCCAGGTCAGTTGATTGTAGTAGACAATAAAGTGGATAGTAGGGCATATTGGCAATTCCCATTTACTACAGGATAACATAATTTTAATACTGCTGTTAATATTTGTAAACTTGTTTTTTAAACACGATAATGGTTTTGACTAGGGTGTAAGAGTCAGCTCGTCTACTGTAATTCATTTGGTTGCTAAAAGCTAGTAGAATCTCATACAATACAACCATTTCCAGGGGGAAACCAGAGCAAACAAAATTGCATTTTTAAGGTTAATTTTCCTTGTTGATTTTTTTTATCTTGACAAGCTCTGATAGCGAGTTTCCACAGTACAGGCAACAGTACTATCTTCAACTAGATACATAGGCCCAATCCAGCATCACTCTTTACAAGGCTGAATGGAAAGTATTACCAAACCAAATTTTCATTTGTCCAAATTGAAAGTATTACCATGGCTCAAAAATGAAGAAAAATAAAGTATAAACATTGGAGCAAAACCTAAATTTTGCACTTCACTTCATATAAAATTGTGATGACAGTAAGTGTTTTACTGTTTTGATATCCTGTGATACTGTATCAGTAAGTTGTAACAAATTTTTGTAGTGATTCTTGGTTGTTGACACTACAAGAATTAATTAATATTGTCTTATCTCTAGATCACATTAGCCTTCATTGGTGTTCTCCTGATGCTAACCTGTCCAATCCGTTGAGCACTGACTAAATGAGGCATCTTATGCTTTGCTATGCTTTTCAAGGACTGCCAGCCCAGCGAAGCGCCCTGAAAATGAGAAGCCGCCAATAGAGGAGGAGAAGAAGGAGGAGAAAATTGAGCTGAAATCAATCACAGCTGATGGAGAGACTCCAACTGCAACCAAGGTAAGACCTCTGAATTATACAGTACAGGAAAGTATGAGACAGGCTGCACTTTTTAACATTTGCTGCCATTTCGCTATGGTCTTATCGCCAGAGGGTAATTACAATATTAGCAGAAGGCAGACAGGGTGGGATGAGATCATATTTTTATGATTTTGCCCTTGTACACCTTTATTTAATAGCATCTGTTCAACATCAAAATTCCCTCCATCCATCCATTTTTTACAAGTACTTTTTCCTTTGAGGGTCACAGTGAATCAATTTGCAGTTGTAAGTTAACATTGCAAGCATAACAGAGTTCCCAGAGAAAACATCTGCAGACACAGAGAGAGAGATTGCAGGCTTCATACAGAAGGAACTCCACACTTGAATTGAAACCAGGACCCAAGATTCTCGAGGAAAACAGTACTAATCACTATTCCACTGTGCTTCCATTTCCTAAATGGATTAACTAAATATAAAGAGAAATTAGATACATAAAACGTTTATCTATAATTGCCCTTACTAGTTGCTGTAAATAATGCAGGAAAGAAAATGTATACTGTATATGCATCATAATATTTTTGGAAATCATATGTTATCAAAAAAATAGATTTTAAATTAATCAACTGCCTGCAATTGTGTTTAAAAATGTTTACTGATGGTCATATTTTGATGATATTTCTTACCTAGGAAAATATGTGGATTTGCAGATATTTCTACTTTGCCTTCAGTTATTGAAGTAAAAAAATTTAATGAGAGCTTTGTATAACTTCAGTACTAATGTAAATCACAATAGATTTCAATAGATCTTCCAACTCTTTATAAGATAAGATAATAAGCACTTATCTTGGGCCAGTGGCACTGTGGCTAAGGATCTGCGCCTTTGGCTGGCAAATACTGCAGCCGGCAGAGGAATCCTACTCCGTTGGACCCCTGAGCAAGGCCCTTAACCCCAACTGCTCCAGGGGCGGTGTACAATGGCTGACCCTGCACTCTGACCTCAAGCTTCTCTCCCTGTCTGTGTGTCTGTGTCTCATGGAGAGCAAGCTGGGTGTGCCAAAAGACTAATTCCTAATGCAAGAAATTGTATTTGGCTAATAAAGTGATCTTATCTTTAGATGATATACTGTAACATTTAATCTTGCTCTTCATATTATATTAAGCAATGTTCCTGTAAAGCAATCCTTTGTGGTGATCATTTTAAAGTCAACAAACATATGCTAACCTTTATGGCAAGAAAAATCACTTAATTAAGAAATTGTATGGCAAAACATAAACCTTTTAAAGCATGATACTCCAAATATAAATCAAGAGACCAATTATAATAGTTTAGAGTCCTTTTCATTTTCTTTATATTGTGCTCATTATTCATTGTGATTTTTACCATGATACATTTTTACCATGATGCAAATTTGTGCTACTGGGAACTTTTAACACCCTAGATACATGATGTATCGCACCCTAGATCTGTGTCTCCTCATAATTCAAACACATTGCTGTAAAGACAGCTCTTTATTCTTCATGGTAGAGTTTCTGCTCTAACATGCACTGTCAGCTGAGGAACCATATATAAATAAGTGTTCTTCTGAAAACATAAAAAACTGTATACAAGACTCTGTTTTCCTTGCAATCGAAATAATGTAGGGTATAAGTAAGTAATATAATCAGTAATGAACATTATTTTATGTGTCAATCAAATATTTTTTTTCTTTTTAATAATCAAATATTACCAGGAAAATGTACAGAAAACAAAAAAGTAGACAGTCCAGGCCAAACTGAGAGGAAAAAATTAAAACTGTTGTTGTTGCTTTACAATCAAGTAATGTGTACAGTATACAGTATGTTATAAGGAATAAATATGAATGATGATTCTAACATCATACAGTATGTGTTTTGTTATTTACAAAATCTGTGTATGTCCACATCTGAAGCAGGCTCACTTATCTTTATTGATGAAGTAACAAATAATAGCTGCAGCAGAATGAATTCTGAAGTTTACAGTCAAATTTTGTTGATTAATATATAAGAAAATACTTCCATGTTCACTTGGAGGTGCTTCACCATACAACATGACAATGACTCAAAACATGTGGTCAATGCAACCAAGGAGTTACAAGGAGAAGAACAAAACTTGTCTAAATTGTCTAAATTGCAAGCACTAATGAACAGTACAGTCAGAACACCACAAAGAATTCCAAATGATTACACATCGCATTTCATAGAATTCTTCATTCTTAATTCCAGTGGGTTGCAGGCTTCAAGCACTTTTTCCATCAAGGGGATTTAAAACTGAATATTAATTTGGCTCTCTGTCACTTAAAATGCATATGATTTAAGTACCTACAGTATGCCATACTATGTATAGTCCTTTGACATCACAGAGATGAAGTGTGGTTTTGTTCTAATATGATTAAAT